CCCCCAATATCTGTTGCTAATCATAGAAATGTGGCATAGATTTAAAATCTGATTATTAGCCAAGAAATAAAATGGTTCTTTTTAGTAACCATGACCTACATAAAACACGATTTAAACAATTCTCTAAAGCCAGTTTTGAGGGTCAGTTTGTGCTTCCTAAAGTAGAGCATTATTTTTACCAGCCTGCTGTAGTAGCTAAATGCTGAAGCCTCTGTATTAAGCCTTCCTTTGAAGACTGAATGTGATATAAGATTAGGGTGACCAATCGTCCACGTCACCACATGCTGATGTTTATGTCAAACGTGAATTCAAATATCCACATGACAATTGGCTGGAAGTGATAGTTTATTTTTCTGACATATACATACCATTTCACTTTAGAAGACATTGATTCATCCACTGGGGTTATATGAAGCGTCAACTTCTGGGCACCTAATCACTTGCATATAGGCTATATATATGGACACCGTTTTTCATCTGAAGAAAGAAATTCACATATATCTGGTACGGCATGAGGGTGTGTAAATGATGAGAGATTTTTCATTTTTGGTTGAGCATCCCTTTAACTCTACCACTTACTCTTGCAAAAATTACATTTGCAGAAAGTATATTTGTGCTCAGAAATGCAAGCCTCAAATGCAAGCCCAATTAGGTATAGTTAAGACCTATTTCCAAAAACACAAACATAAAATAACATTTGAAAAGTTGAAAAGGAGTAATTAAAAAACAAAAACATACAAATATTGTCCCCACAGAAAAAGCACATGAACTTCACATGTGCAATCACATATTAAAATCACATGTGAAATATGTGAAACACACGTGAAACTCACATGAAACGTGGTTTTGGAACATTTTCATGGTATAAATATGTGAAACACATGTGATCACATTGTCCACACGTGTCCACATGTGTTTCACACAGTTACACCATGAAAATGTTCCAAAACCGAGTTTCATATGTGTTTCACATATTTCACATGTGATTTTAACATGTGATTGCACATGTGAAGTTCATGTGCTTTTTCTGTAAGGGTTTGTACAAGTGAGATATCAATTATATTTTGAACACTGAACTAGGAATGTCTCCGGTTTCCAATTCAGGAATCTGGGGCCTCATTTATAAAATGTTGCGTATAAACCGTCCTAAATTTGTTCTAAGATAATTTCTCAAAAGTGCATAAGTACGATTCAGAGAACATGAATGTGCGTACGCCTCTCTTCCAGATGTGACGTTCCAGGGGCGTAGATTACGCGGGGGACGCGGGGGACGTGTCCCCCCCACTTTTAATATCACGTAAATTCGTCCCCCGCACTTTTTCGGGCAAGTGTGTTCGCATAGAGGTTATTTCTGTCCCCCTCACTTCTGAAATGATGGCTACGCCCCTGTGACATTCATAAATCGCAAATGATCTTGAAATTGTGCGCAGGTGACTGGTGTCAGATCTCCGCCTTTAAACGCCCCCTAATTAATAGCATTCCCATATAAAAGAGCACACGCCAATATCAGAATTTCTATTCTTGAGAATGACAAGCACAAAGAAAAAAGAAAAAACTTTACCGAGTCTGAAATTGAGGTCCTGCAGGCGGAGGCAGAGGTTTGTGCGGGGACGCTTTTTATTTAATAATGTGTTATTATTCTGTGGACAAACAATGTGTGTGTGGTTAAATTTTTTTTTCTATTGACTATTATCAGTAGTAGTAGTAGTAGTAGTAGTAGGAGTAGTAGGAGTAGTAGTAGGAGGGACATTCTACCAGAAACGTACATTTCCACTTGTAAAAATCTTGGGTGAAAAAAATATCTTATTCTTAAATCTGAACGTTGAGTCATATGGAGGACATGTTAATCTATATGAAACACATATCATGCCATCTCAGCATGTTTTTATGATTGAAATAAATACATTTTTATACGCATTTCACCCCTAAAATGTCAGGCCCTGTCACAGACAAATTTATCAGAATTTCTATTCTTGAGAATGACAAGCACAAAGAAAAAAGAAAAAACTTTACCGAGTCTGAAATTGAGGTCCTGCAGGCGGAGGCAGAGGTTTGTGCGGGGACGCTTTTTATTTAATAATGTGTTATTATTCTGTGGACAAACAATGTGTGTGTGGTTACATTTTTTTCTATTGACTCTTACAACCCAACTAAAGTTTGATTGAGATTAATTGGAATGCACAATGAAAAAACATGATTTCAGAGAATTGTTAAAAATGGAGTTAACTGTTTTTGCAAATAAACTCTTCATATGTATTGAAATGCAATTAATATACTAATATGCAGTGCTACATAGGCCTAGGTAAAAGAGGAGTCGGCCATTTTAAACTGCCATTACTCGCAGTATATATGCTAGCATAAAAACTGTTAACATGCAATCAAGGAATTTCAGTAACTTTTTTAGACATGTTTTGGATTTAAAAGATTTTCATTATTTTTTGGGATGTTTTACCGTGACAGGGCCTGACCCTTTAGCTCGTCCTCCCCAAAAAAAACATACAAAAACAAGCTTAAAATCATACAATTCAATGACAGAACTCACCCTTGATCAGTGTCCGCTTCACCTCAGTCAAATTATGTCACTTCCTTTGAGTCATACCTTTAAAGGCGCATTACACACATTTTATGTTGAGTTTTATGTAAACGTGACAGGACTGACCGAAAACATGGGGACAGTTGTAAAATAGTATTTATTTGTAGAATTTATGTAGAATTTCATGTTTTTAAAAGGCACATTACACACATTTTATGTTGAGTTTTATGTAAACGTGATAGGACTGACCGAAAACATGGTGACAGTTGTAAAATAGAATTTATTTGTAGAATTTATGTATAATTTCATGTTTTTAATCAGTTGATGTGAATGATAACAACTTAAACTTTTTTTTTTTTCTAAATAACAGTTTTTAGCATGACAAAACTATGAAAGCTGTAGGTCCAATTTGGCTGGGGACAAGGACAAGAACAGGATTTGTAATTTTCAAAAATGTTTTTAATAAATTAAAAAATATCTGAGAACCTAATGAATGACATATTCCTTTACAGAACAACTCACAGAAACCAACCATCAGTCAGTTTTAGACATTTTTTGGATGTAATACTTTTTATTCACTGTAACAAGTCAAGGACAGATAATGTACATTTCTGGTAGAATGTCCCAGGAGTATTAGTAGGAGTAGTAGTAGTAGGAGGAGTAGGAGTAGGAGTAGGAGTAGGAGTGGGAGTAGGAGTGGGAGTGGGAGTAGGAGTGGGAGTGGGAGTGGGAGTAGGAGTAGGAGTAGGAGTAGTAGGAGTAGGAGTAGTAGTAGTAGTAGGAGTAGTAGTAGTAGGAGGAGTAGTAGGAGGAGGAGTAGTAGGAGTAGTAGTAGGAGGAGGAGTAGGAGTAGTAGTAGGAGGAGGAGGAGTAGTAGGAGTAGGAGTAGTAGTAGGATGAGGAGTAGTAGTAGGATGAGGAGTAGTAGTAGCAGTAGTAGCAGTAGGACTAGGAGTAGGTTTCCAAAAGTAAGAATAAACTACGAATTCAAGTAAAATTCAGTCATCTTATAAAAAGTGAGCCATCCTACTTTTAAAATCACTTGCTATGACAGCTAATAAAAAGTTTAGTATCACGAAATTTTTGCAAAACTTTAAAAAACATTATTGAAAGAAAAATTGGACATTTCATATCATAATAAAGTAAATTATTACACGATTATGGTCTCCAGTCTGAAAAAAACCTCCATGTGATTTGGCATTTCTTTATATTTATGCAGTTTACTAATGCTGCTCAAATGTGCCATTAATGTACTGACACAAAAAGATATAGTGTATTTTATACAAACATAACTGATGTAAATGACAAAAACAAAGTTTAAGGCTGATGTCTCTATTCATTTTCACCGAAGCAAAGCAGCAGATGTTATAAATAAAAACAGTTAACAATGTTATTGAATAGAATATATTAAAATATAGTGTATTTTATACAAACATAACTGATGTAAATGACAAAAACAAAGTTTAAGGCTGATGTCTCTATTCATTTTCACCGAAGCAAAGCAGCAGATGTTATAAATAAAAACAGTTAACAATGTTATTGAATAGAGTATATTAAAACCGTTATTGCACGACATGGGCCTATTATTACACAGACAAAACAGTCGAGATGCGTTTATGCATTTTTTTCTTCTATTTTACGCATTAGTAATAGGCTAAATCAAGACTTCGCAAGTTCTCTTGTAAAATAATAAAAAAACAACAACATGGAATAAACTGTACAGAAAGCGAGAAAAGAACTCTCAACATTAGGCTACTAAAAAGGTCAGTTTAATCTCGCAAAACCTCCCGTTAATAAAAAACAACTGCATCTTTGTTGTTTATGATGAATTCGGTGCTTGCACGTACACCGCTTTTATTCTTGCAGCTTATGTTCAAATAGCTGCAGTGCTCCGACTTTGCCACAAGGTCTGCTCAGACCCTGACGTGTCTGTAAAAGTTAGTGATGGGAAGTTCGGATCATTTTACCGACTCGGACCTTTGAGTCTCGTTCAGCAAAATGAACGAATCTTTTTTCGAGTCATTTCGTTCATTTCGTTAATTTTAACAAAATATAATTAAAATGTTACGTGTTACTTCCCTAATATGTCTACTACTTACGCAAACGTTGATCACACTACAAACAATACAAAACTGCTATAAGAAACAGAAAATATTAATTCATTGTTTACCTGAGTCTTCAGCCTATGATTAGCTCACCTCCTCTTATCTGACAAGTCTTCACAACACTAGTAAAAGTACGTTTCCACGTCAAAGACCGTTTTTATAAATATGAACGTTGCCGTGGATTTCAGTGTATGCACACACTAAGATCAAATCTGTGCGTACGCACATTTGATAAATGAGGCCCCATGTCACCTGTATTTAGGATAACTTCATTGACGTAAAACTTTACGCAACGCATCTATGATGCGAAAGTACGAGATATTTTAGAGAAAATACGCAGATGTAGTGTGGCACGCCACATATGGTGCTGCCTTTCAACTGTTTAATGGATGTTCTTATTTGGGTGAATGGTTTAATGTTTCCATTATGGCTATTCGCCTATAAGAATATGCTCGGACCGCAGACTTTTCTCACTGATCCTACAGTCGTTAGTTTCTAAACTGAGACGAACTAAAAACAGCGTCTGCTTCACGAGTGCTGCTCCTGTCTCACCCGCGAGTCAAGGTTACTCTGCACAAAGGTGAACACATGCACACAAGTTTGTGTACAGACTCGTTCTTGGAAGTGTTTCAAGCTGTTCTGTTTGTTTGGGTATTCCCAGAGTGTTTGGAAACAGTAAAACAGTTTCCAGTTAGCATGATTAGCTTTCCCAAATGCCATCTTGTTTATTTCAGCCTGTTTTGTTTTTTTTACTCTTTGCTATATGTGATTAAAATCTAGTGAAATATCACTGTAGATAATAAAACACAATACATGGTAAAGTTTAATAACCCAAATGCAACATAATTTCAGTTCACTTAGCTTATCGGTCAAATAAACTTGTATGGGCATTTTTTTCACTATTTTATTTATTTATTTTTTTGTAGGCAGTAAATTTTTTTGTTTTGTTTTTCGTATCTCTGATTTTATCCTTTTTTTTTTTTACTTTATACTGGTTTTCAGACAATTTCTGACAATTACTATGGCTATGTAGCTGCAGTTTTTATTGAGAAAAGGACTTATGTGGCACTTGTACTTGCCTTACATATTGCACTAAATTCAGCAGAATTATGGTAAAATTCTGCTACAAACCTACTTATTTACACAGTATTTTGTAATACAGACTTATGAAGCAAAGTTAAATAAATAGCACAATGCACGCCAGTTTTTTGAAGAAATATCTCTTGGGCTTATTGCAAGTTATACAGGCAGTTACAGGCAACCAAACAGCCCTTCCTATTGTGATACTGCTTTGTGAAACAGGACTGCAATGGTATTTCAACACGCTCAAAGCTAAGATGAAAACTGAAATGCAGATGAACTATTTAAAAGAAAAGAGACCATGTGAAAGTATACAAGGGCTATGCTATAACAGTCTTTAACACATTTTTTTCTCCTTTCTGATTTGTAGCCCTGCCGCTGATGTCTGAATTATTGGGTGTCTGATTGCAGAGCACAAGAGGTGTACAAAATTCTTCAGAGATGCCAGTTGTCATTTTCCCCATTAGTCTGGCCAGGCAAGTCCAGAGTCCAGTGTTCTCGATTCTATTTCTGCTTACCACGCACCCACAACATGAACACGTTGTGGCAACACTCATGTTACTGAGTTTGAATGTTTCAGCAGTAGCGACAATCAGCAGGACATGTTGCATCTGCAGTACGTGTGTGTGTGTACATACAGTATAAATAGTCCATAGTCCTATCTAACCCATGAATGTCGCTCAATCAAATCATTAATTACATTTTCTTTTCTTTTAATGAAATGCACATTCTGTCTGGTATCATGTCTAGTATATTTCTGCAGTTTTAAAGCATTTGGAGGATCAGTTTACTTCTACTCGTGAACCAACAGCACTGTGCCGACTGAAAACTGCAGTGGAAAGTTTAGAGATTGTGAAATGACCTGAGTCCACAACTGGCCAGACTTGTTCTGTTCCGGATGTTGTGTACTCTCTCTCTCACACACATTTAAAAGCTTATTTACAGCAGCATGATTTAAATGGGTCATATCATGAGAAATCCTTGATTTCATTGTTTTATAAAAACACACTAACTTTCAAAATAAACCCTTTAAATGTTTCAAGTTAGGGTTCTTCAATTATATACCATTAATTTAAAATACAGAGTGCAGATCTGGTGAAGGGAAGTTATTTTGTAGTATGAGGGTAAAACTTGTTAATAATGAACATAAAACCGGTTTTATGTATAAGTCCAAGTGATCCATTCAGAAACGTATCTGTCTCCAAATCGGGATGGGAAAAAAGGTAATAGAAAAATAATATTCAGTATCAACTAGTATTAGCCAAGTAGATTTGAGGAAAAACTTGATTAGGCCTATATTAAATGTTAATAATTCCACATGAAATCAGAAATTAAGGACACAAAAAAGTGAAAGTGTGAATACTGTAAAAAGGGGTGAAAATGAGTGGAAAGGTGTTTAGATGCATGAACAACTATTGTTGGGACACTCCCACTCATTTTCTCTGCATGGCACTGTTAACTGATGCCTTCTGCTGGATCTGATGTGTCATTGCAGCGCTCAGTGTTCCACTCCACGTATCCAGTACCAGAGTTCTCCAGGAGCATTTTAAGTTCATTGAAATCTAGCCTTTCGTCAGCTGAGTCTCTCCAACATATCAGCTTTGTGTCATAGATGTGCGATGGACACTTAGGGGGTGAAGGCATTCTGTGCAAAAAAGGGGGCAAAAAAGGTGATCATGTTGTACACCTCTTGATTTGAGAAAGCTGCAAAAATATATACAAAAAATTATGTACTTTAACCTTTTCAGATCTGCATGAAAAAGAAGATACATAAGTGGTGTACATACCTGGATATGGGAATCCCCCATAAGTGAACATTTCATACAGGAGGACTCCAAATGACCAAACATCAGATTTGTTGGAGAACCTTCCATGGCTGATGGCTTCAGGAGCACACCACTTATATGGTATTTTTTTATCTTCAGATGAGTAAATTGGCTCCTGTGAAACAAGTGCCCCGTATGTTTTAAAAGCAAATTTTAAGAATGAATATTCTGTCTTTGATTAACTAGAAGGTAATCCTCACCTTGACGATTCGAGCTAGGCCAAAGTCGGCCACTTTACAGATGTAGTTGTGTCCCACTAGAACATTCCGGGCTGCCAGGTCTCTGAGGTTGCTGTTCTGCTCCTCAAGGTATGCCATCCCATCAGCCACTTGACTTGACATTTCTATCAGTTCCTGCGGTTCCAGGTTCTGCCCGTCCTCACCTGTGAAGGGAGAACCGAAGGAATCATGTCTGTCTGCTTTAAGACTTTGGTTTTCTACAAAAAACAAGACTCGTTCTAAGGAGAGGTATTAGTGTATGAGTTGCAGTGATTTGTTTATGAAGAAACGTGATACTAGCAGCAAAAAAAAATCTTGAATTTGGACTGTTTAGTCTTTATGTTATTTTTGATTAAACAATCACAGCTTTAACATTTGCATTTGATTAAATACCATTTTATAAAATATAATTTTATAAAATTTCAATAAATACATTTTAACAATAAATGACAGATTATTATCACTAGCAAGCTAGTTCAAATGGCAGTACGGAGCGCGAGTAACCGATAATCTCTGCCTCGCTACGAACAAAAACAAAACAAAACATGAATGAACATCAGAGAGGGTATATTGAAATATACAGTAAAACCTACTAAAAAAATCTCTCATATAATCGCTCAGTAAATCAGTGTTTTATTCACTTATTCACAGAAAATGTCAATAAAACAGCTTGTGATCGTCAGGTAAAGCAGCATTTACCTCAGCAGAGTCATTTATGTGCTTAGGTCATTAGAAATACTTCTAGAAAAAAGCTAGAAAAAAGAACTTTGTAGAAGGGCATATCGCTAAAATCTTAAATATATTGTTAAATATGTGCACTAAGTTATAAAAGCAATTACATTTTTTACCTAACTTATTGATGTCTCATTTAATGTATGTTTGAATAAATCTCATAATTCTGAAAATTGTTTGGAATCTTTAGAGGCCCTTACCTCAAAAACAAGCTTTCATGACATCTGATATTTAAATGATTATATCTCAACAACAGTTTAGAGTAGAAACGATGATTAGAAACAATGATATGATTAGAAAACAAAAACTTGAGGGATGTTCACACCAAAGATGATAGCCAACTATACTGTTTTAACAATTGTTTTAATTCTGTGAGAAAAGGGAAGTCCACCTCACAGCTATAACGATAACGATATAGTTGGGAATCACGTTCAGATCGATGAACGATAAAAAAGCAGGTGACATAACTGCAGTGCGTACTTACAATTAACCAGTGCATTGTCATGCATTGGTTTGGACGCTAATATATATATATCATTATGTTTATCGTTATACAGGTGCATCTCAATAAATTAGAATGTCGTGGAAAAGTTCATTTATTTCAGTAATTCAACTCAAATTGTGAAACTCGTGTATTAAATAAATTCAATGCACACAGACTGAAGTAGTTTAAGTCTTTGGTTCTTTTAATTGTGATGATTTTGGCTCACATTTAACAAAAACCCACCAATTCACTATCTCAACAAATTAGAATACTTCATAAGACCAATAAAAAAAATTTTTTTAGTGAATTGTTGGCCTTCTGGAAAGTATGTTCATTTACTGTACATGTACTCAATACTTGGTAGGGGCTCCTTTTGCTTTAATTACTGCCTCAATTCGGCGTGGCATGGAGGTGATCAGTTCTTTTCCACGACATTCTAATTTATTGAGATGCACCTGTAGTTATTGTTCTTGGTGTGACCGGGCCTTTAGATTTCACTTTCTCATTCAGTTCATGAAACTCAAAATGTGTTTGTGGTCAAAACATGGACTAAGTCACATGTAATCAACATTATTGACAGGTTACAGTAAACATTTAAAGATGTCAAAAAAACTTTCATATTAACTGGGTTGACATCAGATAATAAAGAGGTTGTAACCTCGGAGGAAACTGAGCAGGTTGCCTTTTTCCATAAGCTCAGTGATGATGTAGTAGGGGGTGGAGCTTGTGCAGACAGCAAAGAGTGCGATGAGATGTCTGTGTCTGAGCTTTTTCAAAATTTGAGTCTCCATCAGGAGCTCCCTGTGATTGAGAGACTCTAGAGGAGGAGTAGGAAACACAGTAGAGCACATCAGATAAGCATCAGTACAACAGAGTGTTGGAGCAATGTGATATTTATTAATACATCTGTCAAAATATGGGATTTACTCCTTCAGGGGAATTTTTCACTAATAGGCTGACAGACAGAAGCCTTAACAGTGTTTTAGAACTGTTCTTCAAGAGTTCTCAGTGTGCTACGTGCTCCATTGGCTATAGGTTATGAGGGCAGTAGCCTGTGATCTCATTCCTCCAGCTCTCACAGTCACAGAACAAGAAACACTACATTTCTCACATTCACACAGTATCAGGAGCAGAAAACAAGTAGGCAAAGAGGAAGTAGTCCATTCCACTTAAAAGATCCACCAGACTCATTCCCTCATTTAGCCTTCAGATGTTTCTTTCCTATTTACATGCACCAACCGTACCGTTGTTTTTGAGGCTCTTGATGGCCACATTGACCATGCCTTTCCATTTTCCACGGTAAACATCAGCAAAGTATCCTTTACCGAGCTCCTCTTCCAGAGTGAACTCTTCCTTGAAACGGTTTGGTGGGAAAGATCCTGTGGTTTTGTGTCTGGCTGTTGGCATAAGACAGAACAGAGATAAACTCTGATTGGGGAATTATGCAGTAATACAAACAAATGCATTTTTTTACATACACATATTGTACATGAAGTTTGTGGTAATCTACTATTAACTTGATAAACAGGAATCGCTGTATACAGGCATAATTTACAGTGGTTGGACAAAATAATGTGACCATCTGAGACTATTTTATTATTATGGTGTTTTACCTCCATTTGCCTTTAAAACATCCTCCAACCTTCTCAGAATAGATTCATACATTTGAATAATCTCCAGTTGAATGTTGTCTATAAAAACATCTGCCAGTTGCTTTAGACATGTTGAAGGAAGGAATCTGCTTCTCTCCCAAACTGCCCACAGTGGTTTGATAATATTCAAGACAGGTGATTTGTCTGGCCAGGACAGATGTTGAAGTTTACCTTGTCCTTGGTGCTCCAACTGTCCAGGTTTTATGATCACAACACCATATTTTTCGCAGTTCAGCATTGGCACACCAAACAATTGGGCTGTAAAGGTTACAGATGCTCCTGCTAAACGGGCTGTCCTTTTTGGAATTCTGACAAAACACCCATCCCATCCATAGCTTGTACTAAACACTTACTACATACTTACACTGAGATACAAACTAGAGAATATAGACAAGGAAGAGATAAACAAGACAATAACAACATCTGCATTTTCACTGTAGTCTACATGAATTTTATTAACCCCAATAATAATGGGTGTTCACATAATTTGTCCAACCACTGTATTTGTGAATTATCAGGGCTGCAAGGAAATTCAAAATGACTAGTTATTTAATTTTATATAAACTTCTATTTTAATGGACAATTTGCCTCTTATTACTATGTTAATTGACTTCCTTCAGACAGTCTTTTTCCTCATGTCACACGTTTTCTTGTGGTAGGTCTAGTATAATCTTGGTTACTCTTAAATAGCACGCTTTTAACATCACAATGAAAAGTACAAATCAGACACACCCACTATTTACTTAAAGCTGCAGTCCGTAACTTTTTTTTGGTTAAAAATGATCCAAAATCAATATTTGAGCAAGTACATAACCAGCCAATATTCAAAACTATCACCTTACTTTAGCCCTATTCACAACGGTCAGTTTATAATAATGTTTTCTAATTTGAGTGGTAGGGGTAGGTTTTCGTGGGAAATTCGAGCATGCCGCTGCGTCATTACGTCACGTCTGTAAACATAAAGAAGTTGTCCCGGCTACTAGGCTATCACATGTGAGGATGCTGCAGGTGGCCGATCGTTTATAGCCTTTTCTCACAGCAGC